GGGGGGGGCACCCCTGCGTGTCAAGGGTCTCGCTCAGCTCTGCGGTCAAGTCTGAGAACGTTCCCAGAGGGCACTGAATGGGATCTTTTTTACTTCTGCCCCCCACTTCTGGCCTCCTCTTTTCTTTCACTGGAGTATTGCCTTTGCGCTGCGATCACAGAGATGTCCTCAAACAATGCTAGTAACTCCTGCTGCTAGGAGAGGTCACGCACCACCGATTATTCAGAGATATGTTCGCACACAACACTTAATAGGGTTGCTCTTTGGCACGTATAGCGCTCTGAGTATATATCGACATGTTTCTATAAGTATTAAATCTAGTCATTAAAGAGACAGGAAATGCTGCTTGGAAATGAAGATTGCTTACCAAAATTCAGAACAGTCCTTGGATCATAACCACTAAATGACAACTCAGTTAACGATTAAAGAACCTGCTGAAGTACAGCAGATACATGGAGCTAGAGTATTTGATTAAACAAACCATGTGGTGATGGTTTTGAATACTTTGACCCTGGGCATTTGGTGTGCTCTGAAGTTTCGTCCCAACCATTGTGACCAATGTTCCTGCTTTAAATTTCCCAGGGCTAGGTCAGCAAAAACAGTAACTCTCAGCTCTCAGGGAAGGCACAAAGTACTTCAGATGTGAAGTAAGAGGCAGCCAGGGCTTGGCAAAATGCTATTGCCTTTCTGAGGCACATTCCCCTACTGTGTATACGGGTCAGGACTTAATTACAAGTGACAGAAATCCCAGTCACACTAGCTTAGACGAAAAGAAGGGAGGGAGGGATTTCCAGGTTCTTATGTGCTAAAACTAAGGAAGAGAGCTTATGTCAAGAATGGCTGCATCCAGCTCAAATGATGTCATCAGGACCTAATCTGACTCCCTCCGTCTATCCCCTTCACTTGCCACCCTACTCCCCAACCCCAGTACTAAACTACATTATGCCATTCCTTTCCTCCTGAAATCCTGTTGTGATAAGGAAAAACATGTTCAAGAAAAGCAGGAAAATCCCTTGTAGAGGAAGGAAAAGTCTTTGTTGAGCAGAATGCCTCGAAGAGCCTGGGGGCACGGCCAGTGGGATTAGAAGCAGAGAAACTACATATTTTATAATACAAACCAGGACACATGGGAGGGTAAGAGGGGCACTGCCAACTTTACTGGCACAAGAGGCATAACCTGGTTTTATTCTCTGTAAATGGAAGCATATGCTCCCCCTTAGTAGAAATGAAGCCAAGAGGGAGCTAAACCCCTGGGTGTTGAAACAAACTAACAAAACCACAATAACATGACTAAATTGAAAGCCACCGGCACACCACATGTTGGTGAGGTATGGAGCAACTGAAACTCTCAGATACTGATGGTGGGAATGCAAGGCAGTGTAACCACTTTGGAAATCAGTTAGGCAGTTTCCTAAAAAGTTCAACACTCATCTACCGGATCACCAAACCACTCCACTTAGGTATTTACCAAAGAGAAATGAGAGCATGAAACCCAAAGATGTGTAGTGAATGTTCTAGGAGTTTGTTATAGCCCCAAATCACAAACAACCCAAATCCACCAGTAGGTGAATAGATAAACAAATAGTGGCATATCCATACAATGGAATAC